CTGTCATATCGCCTTCTCTGTGTGTGGAAGCCCCCGCAGCTCCCTTCTATGAGAATAGATGTGACTGCATCTAAGGCCCATTGGGATGAGGCGAGATGATTGTTCTATCTCATGATGCTTAATGTAAACACATCTGCAAAGCCCTCCATTGCCATGGAAGGTAACATTCACAGATTCCAGGGGTTAGCACATGGGTATCTTCTGGGAAGACATTCAGGTGCCACCCTCATTCTTCCACTCCCTCCCTCCATCACATACAGCTGTGATGTCTAGTATGGTAGTCACCAGTCACATGTGGTCTGTGAGGGAAGGGTGGTTACACTTCAGGTTGCCCGAGGTGACCCTGGCTGGGGCACAGGCTGAAGGAACAGCAGCTACCAGGGTTAGCTCTTCTCCTAGTGAAGCATGAAGTGTATAGGGGGGTGAGTAGACAGATGTCTCTGGAGGCCTCATCAGAGAAAGAACACCCACGTTCCATTAGCAAAGCAAGTCCCAAGGCCAAACACAGTGTCATTAGGGAAGGGAGTTCACTCGGCCCCTTAGTGGGAGCTTCTACAAAGTCATGCCAGAGTGGGATGAATTATACAGGGAAGTCCGTGAGGAATTATGAGCAATGGTCCTTAGGGGCAAAGCAGCTGGACTTGACTTTTTTTTATTTAGTTCACTTGCGTAGTTGTGTGGAAAGCAGATTTGAGAGACGAGATGCTAGAGTTGTGAGGTTCAGGTGAGACCTTGGGAGAATGTGGGCTGGGCAATAGTGAGCTGCAATGGAACAGTTATTTCAGAATAACATGTGAGATAAAACCACCAGGACTCAATGACTGAGTCATGTATGGCTGGTTTCTAGATACCTCCATTTACCGTACAGAGTCCATTGCTAAGGTGTGCAGTTGCCTCTCCAATATCTGTTTTCTTATGTTTATCAAAACAACTCTGATTTTATTTGTCATTAATGTGCTTAATTAAACATTTTTCACCTAGCTTCCCTTGCAGCTGGAAGGGAAACCATGGATATAAATGGCAAACCCTGGATATAAATGAGATTCACTAGGTTGTATTACCAGAAAAACTTTTCATTGGGACATGTGCTTTTTTATCATTTGCTCCTATCTTTTCTCTGCCTCAAGTGTAGATGGATGCCTGGAGCTCCAGTAGGTGTTCTGTGGCTAGGAGACAACTATGCTAAAGGTGGCTGAGCGCAGAAAAGGAGCCTGTCTTTGATGATGTTTTTAAAATATATATATATTTTTATTTATTTCAGAGAGGGAGAGAGAAACATCAATGATATCAATGATAATTGGCTGCCTCCTACACACCCCCTACTAGGGGTTGAGCCTGCAAGTAGGGCATTTACTCTGACCAGAAATCGAACTATGACCTCCTGGTTCATAGGTTGACACTCAACCATTGAGCCACACCAGCTGGGCTGTTTTTTGTCTGTTTTTAATAGCCAAGTAAAGTTCCTATCACCACACATGACCATACCAACGGGAAGACACATTATTCATTTAATAATTATCCTGATCAATGACAAAATCTAGAAACTGTGGGGACTAAAGTAAATTAACATTTTCCTCCCACCTTCTAAGTTCTTTTAGTTGGGCTAATAGTCAAGTTAACAGAAAGATTAACAGGAGAAACATCAATTCTTAATATATGCTCATGGCAAATTCACATATGCATGAACATTCCAAAGGCAGTGAGGCAACATTTAATATATATATGGCATTTTGGACAAAGGAGAAAAGAGGCAGGGAATAGGGGTCCTAAATTTCAGAAGTGAGAATGAGCAATTTACAGGTAGATGAGGAAAAGTGGCTGGTTTGGCTCAGCGGATAGAGCGTCGCGGGCGAACTAAAGAGTCCCAGGTTAGATTCCAGGCAAGGACACGTGGCGGGGTTTCAGGCTTGATCCCCAGTAGGGGGCGTGCAGGAGGCAGCCAATCAATGATTTTCAACATTGATGGTTCTCTCTCTCTCTCCATCTCCCTTTCTCTCTAAAATCAATAATATATATATTTAAAAAGTGGAACATACATGGAAGCCAGTGATTTTCAACATTGATGTTTCTATCTCTCTCTCCCTCTCCCTTCCTGTCTGAAATCAATAACATACATATTTTAAAAAGTGGAACATACATGGCAGCCAAATTCTTGCTAGGCAACTCAGAAACAATGCGACCTAGGGATATCTAGGTCACAGGCCCCTGCCTAAAGCCCTCTTATAATTCAAATTAGGCTAAGGGAACATCCTAGTTTTTCTAACAGACTCTCTTCGGCAGGAAAGGAGGGTGGTAGTCAAAGGTCCTTTGAGTGATTTTTTTTTTTACAATGAGTCTTTTTTTAATAAACAGCTTAAAAGCAATATCCCAAAAGGCAAAACTTGTTCCCCTTCAAAACATTAAAACCTCATTAAGGCGATCTAGTCCAACAGTAAGCAGCTGCTAGTTATGTAAATTTGTGGAGAAATTTTCCTTCAGTTTCTTTCTTCCTTGTCCTCCCAACACAAGTCCAAACGCTCCTCTTAGCCACCTATTTACCTCATAATGTCTACGTAGGTGTTAAGTCGTCTAAGAGAGTTAGCAGCAAAGGGGGGACTGAGTGTTTTGTTTTAGAATAGGACTCCTGAAGAACAAACCTGTGATGGAGAAAAACAACAAAAACACAGATGAAGATATTGCTATTTCCAGATAAGGAGCTATCCAAATGTATATCAGTAATGATAAAGTTGCATTTCTACGTAACTTGATAAGCACTTCATGTACATTATCTCATTAGCCGCCTGAAGTTAGATGATTTGTTCAAAGAGGAGAACTAACAAGTGACAGGGATGGGAGCTCAAATTTTTCTGACTTATGTTTTCCCTCCCCGTGCCCAAAGTGATCTTAGGAACTGTGTTGAGAGCCTCTTGTGTATATGAGAGAAAGGGAGGTGTCGAAGAAATACGTCACTGGACATAGTTAAACAGGAAAGGAAGACTTTATTCAAGACGATTGCAATGGGAGACACCACACACACACACACACACACACACACGGGGGGGGGGGGGGAGAGAGAATTTAACTCTACTGACATAAAAAAGCAAGCGGTTCTTAAGCCCTGAGATGAGCTATAGGGAGAGTCCTGGAGGGCGCTGGGAGCAGGAGAAGGAGTTCGGGCCGTCTGTGTTGCTAAACAGCATTCCTAGAAGTTAGGCTTCTCCCCTCCCAGACGGACTGGGATATAGCCGCCCTATCTTCCTGGACGGTTTCCCTGTCCTCTGAGAAACACTCCTGGTGGTAAAGCTGGTGACAAGCTGGGAGATGTACATCTCAAGGGCAGAGGGAAAGTTTTCCAGAGTAAGTGCTGTAAGGAAAGGGTGAGCAGGGGCCTAGAGCCAGGAAGAAACCTGCCTAAAGTTTAGTCAGGCTGAGGGGAACTTGAAGGCGGTCTGGGTCAGAGGAGCTTTCCTTGCTCTCCAGGAACCAGGTCTCAGAAGTTCCCGACTGTTCATCTCTTAACAGGTGGCTGCTTTGGCAGGGGACACACGGACTAGCTGGTGGAGGGACTGAATTTAAATGCGCATCCAGGTGGCGATGATTCCCTCTGCACCCTGGTTCCATGAAGCTCTGTGGGGTGAGTCCTTGCAGTTTTCTGGTTCTTTCTCCATCCTGGAGAGCAGAGCACTCACCTAAGTGACATGCCTACGACCAAATCCAAGAGACGTTTTCAGCTCAGAGATGATTCCATACAACTTCACAAGCGGGTTGAATGGGGAGAAGGGAAGGGACTCTGTAGCCCAAGGATAAAACCGAGACAAGGGCACCCCTAGTAGAAATTACCATCATAATAAGCTGAACGGGTAAGTAAGGAAAATGGAAATCTTTTTGGCTGGCATTTCAGCTTGCCTAAGGGACCATGCTTTTCTCAGAGGGGAGGTGACCTGACCTTAAAATCCAGGCCTCCGGGAAGTAGGAGATGAAGGTATTTTATTTTCCCCTTTAAGGCTTTGATGTTTTTTCACATGAAAATGTAAAAGACCCAGTTCCTTCCCCTGAAGCTTCTTAGCAAAGTAGCGGGTTTTTAGAAAAGACAAAGGCCTGGGGGTGGGTGGTGTCTGAAGAGCAGTACCCTAGAAAAGACAAAGGCCTGGGGGCGGGTGGTGTCTGAAGAGCAGTGCCTTGAGGCCTCTCTTTCCCCTTTTCAGAGCATGAGGATTTTTAAAAACGTTCCTTCCCCAAAACACCCCACCCCCTTCTTCCCCCACCGATCTCTTCTTTATTCTCCAAAGTACAAACAGACGGTTACCCCTCAGGCCCTGCTACCCGTCTTCCCTGAATCCCAATGCCTCCCAATACCAAGCTTCTCTCCTTTTGGTCGGCAGCTGTTCCCCCTGCCTGGTGTGCCGAGGGAGCTTCTTTGGCCACACGGTGGCGCGCGCGAGCCTCCCAAAGCCCGACACACATTTCCCCCCCCCTCCCCGCCCCCCCTTT